AGCCATTAATAGATGAACAATTATTCTTGGCTTCTGTCTGGCACTTGTTTTAACTTTAGAAAAAAACTCATTCTATTGATTGGGCAAGTGATGTGTTTCATAAGAAAAAAAGGCAGATTTTGAGTGGTAAAAATCAAGACTTTTCTAGCACGTTATGATGATAAGGACATGTTTGTCATGGCACGTTAGAAATTTTAGCGTATTCAATTTAAATTTGTTCAAACTTTTATTAAAAGTCATGGGGTTTTAATTGAGATTTTAAAAAGTTTTACAAAATTTTGAGGAGTTTAATTTATTTGACGTTAGGATTTATTAATACTTTTTAAGATTTGGTGAGATTTCTAAACAAAAAACTTTATAGGAATCTCACTTCAAATCATACCTCAAGACTTTTAAGATTTCATAGAATTCTTTTAAAATCTGAAAATCTTAAAAAATCTCGAATCTTTAAAAGCCTTAAAATGTCACTTAATTTCTAAAGTCTTAAAAAGTTCTTAAAAATCTTAATTGAATATACCCACTAAATTCTCAATTGAATACACAATTTTGAAAGAAAAAGAAACAGGTGGTGATGATGAAGTATAGGAGGTGAATCAAAGATAGTCATAAGATTGTACTCAAAAAAAAAAAAAAAAAAAATAGTATAATTATTTGATACTTCAAATATATAAAAAAAAATGGTAACAAATATGAAGCTATTGAGTTTTAAAATTGTTAAAATATACAGAAATAAAAAAGAATAGAAAAGGACATATAAGTTTAACTCAAAGAAATTAAAAGAAAAAAAAAAAATTGATATGTGTATTCAATATGGAATAAAAAGATTATTTTCTGTTTTAGTAAAATTTAGTTGGCCGAAAAATAACCAGCTAGTTCACGACCGGGCCCGACTTATATGTAAGAACCGGTGGTTCAATGAAACGCCAGTTTTAAAAATAAAAAATAAAAAAATAATGTCAACCCGTCTTTCGATCTGGAATCGGCCGCGAACCGGCCCGATATTACCAAGGGTCTGGTTCAAGGACTCATACATACTGGTCGGTTTCGGGTCGGGTCGGGTCGGGTTCGTGGCCGATTCCGGTCCGAGTCGACCCTGACCACCCCTAATTATCTCTTTCACATTTTAGAACTAGTTGTACACATTTGCTCGTGGTGTAATATGATGGATATATTAACTGTTAAAGATATAAGACAAACTAAATTGCAAAATATAGTCAGTAATATTTTGACGGTGGGCCGGTGGCAATAATAGTTACCAACTTTTATTAATTGACAATATTACCCAACAAATTTTAGAATTTCGAAAATATTACCCAACTCTCGCTAAACTCGACAGAATTGTGTTCGAACTTGCACCCTCGATTGATTTAAACTCCACGTGGCCTACATAATTCAACTCAACCCAACTTCCTATGAATACCTCATCCACACGTTTTATCTTCGTTTTTCCCAAAATGGGGAAAAAAGTTGGATGATTCGAAAAACTCCACAATTGAAAGATCCAAATGTTAGGATCTGCAAATCGAACAACAAGTTCGTGAGGAACTCAATTTGATGGTATCTTCCTCTATCTAGTTTTTATTTTGCTCCATATTGTTTTCAATTATCTGGCGTAGTTTACAAGTTTTTTTTTTGTATTTTTAATTCTTTCTATTCTAAATTTTTTTATGTTTCATGATTAGTCATAAAAAGTGTGTATTTTATATATTTATTAACATATTTTTATATACTTAATTTTGTCGCATTTATATATTTTTCTATTTATTTTCTTTTTATGAATTCACGTGCTTTGATATTTTTATATTTTATTTTGAAGATATTGAAATTTTTTTTGTGGACACAAGGCATGGAACGGGGATTCAAGCATTGAAGCAACCCAAACACCAACCCATTTTTGGCCCATATGTGCAAATTCTGGTGAAGGTCCAACTTTAATTAAATATTAGTACTAATACTCATGTACAACATGAGTGTTGAGTTAATGAATATATGTGTAATGTTATTTTTGTCTAATACTAAATCTAATTCCAGAGCAAAATAATATAAAAACAACATCACGAAGCATAGATTTTCGCCATGTCAGCATTCGAAGCGTGAGAATCTGTCACCTTGACTCAACACGTTTTGAATTAATATATATAGGGAGGAATTTTATTAAATTTTTATGTGGGTTTATGTGGGGTGAAGTGAAAAGGCCCGATGATTAGTCAAAGGGCATGCATATGGTAGGTATATGTTGTTTAAGGTAGTGTTTGGTTCGGGAGAAAAAGGAGGGAGAAATGCTTTGTAGTATTTTTTTCTTTTCGGCAATTAATTTGTAATTAAGTAGTTGCAACCTCATGTCGTATGGAGATTGTTCGGAGCAAGCCTCACTTTCTAGTCGTCAAAGCATAAAAATAAAAAACAAAAACTCCTAAACATTCTAACAAATTAATAACAATTACCTAAGGTGCAAGTTTATTTATTTATTTTTTTTTTTTTTGGTACAACCTAAGGTGCAAGTTTTAACTAAAGGTATGATGTCACACACATTGACGAAAACGTGTCAGTTGTGAACTAAGACCTTGTTTATCTGACATGGAGTCTCCTTAACTCAACAAAAACGATAATAAACAAAGAACAAACGAGTGTAAAAGCATGCATAAACATCACCGGCATTAATTCAACATTCATTGGTGGGCGATGTAATGCGTTCGAGCACGTCTTTAAATAATGAGAAGATGCTATGGTCCCGTTACGAAACCATTCCGTGGGGATTTTATCTAAGTGATCAACTATCTCTGAAAGTTACATGATGAACTAACAGTTATAATTCCGTAACGAGACTTTAGCATTTCCCTGAGAACTTACCCAAAGTTTGTATTACGTACCACATAATTCGTATTCGTGTTGTTGTTTCATCAAGAGAGGAGTCCATATTTCGATGATGATCATCTTACCTTCAGCCAACCTAAATAGATGTGTAATCTAGGGTCAACAGGTCAACGCTCTTATTACGTTGACCACTGGCTGTTCAATACATGTGAACTAAAAGACGAAAAGAGGGTCAAAAACGTTAGGCTCATTCTCTTTACAACCAATAGAGGTAGAGAAAAAGAACAGACGACAAAAGGGCAAAAAAGTAAAACCTTAAATAAAACGAAAATTAAGCACGTAGCATGCAATATTAAACATTAAGAAATTTTGTCACAAGAAACTAATATTAACAATTCGGTAATATTCTCATTATAATATAATTAAAATAAATAATTTCAGATCTTGTTGATTTATTATAATCATTAATTGGATTAAATTAACTCTCATGTTAAAAATTAGTTCCAACTCAACCCAAACAACATAGCAATCACAATCACCCCCAATGATTATTGCTCAAATATTAATATTTTTTTTAATATATATGGTTTCTATTAGGGCTGAGCATGGGACTCGGAGATTTCTTAATCATTCCGAAAACCGAACTGAAATCACTCTGAACTGAAACATAATCGTTGACCGTTCGACTTTCTCCTAACCGAACCGAATCGAACTCAAAAAATAATTGGTACGGTTCTGAAGATTTCACAAATATCCATACCGAGAACTGAATTAAATCGTCTCATACCGTATGGAACCGAATAATCGAAACTCAGAACCGAATTATACAAATAGATGTGTGTTATTAATATATATTATGTCAACTTTGATTCTATATAATTTGAGAATTTTTAAAAAACAAATAAATTATAATGTCGAGAATTTATTCTGTTAAAAAAAATATTTTAAATGGAATGAATGGTTAAAGATTTTTTTTTTATAAAAAATATTTAACCTTTACTTAACTTTGTCGATACTTAGTCATATTCAATCTTATAACTAACATGGTGGAATGTTAAATAAATATTATTGTAATAAAAAATATATTTGATTTTGTTTGAATTTTAAATTTTAAATATTAATTAGTTGCACAAATTTGGTCTTAACTAAAATTTAGAGTTACTTGTAAAGTTGATTTAAAAATAAAATCTATAGTACGATGAAGTATTGATGAATGTTGGACTTACAAAAAAAAAAAAAAAAAAA